TCCGTCAGGCGGAGACGTGATTATAAAGATGAAAATGTAAATGTTACATTGACATCATCCCGACGCTTCTAAAGCAGGCAAGTTGATACCACCTGTGATTACGGGATACATAACGAAGCGCGTCTCGTAATAACGCAAAATGCAACGATCGCCACTCGCTTCGTATATAAACATATATATATATATATATATATATATATATATACGAGTGAGCGCGTATAGGAGATTTGACGTTAATGAAAACGCTCGCGTACACCAATTCAACTTCAAATTGAATTCGTTTATGACATTTCGTGACTTCACAGGGAACGACACGACAATGAAAATACAACAAAGAGCCTAGAGCTCGGGCTACAGCAAAATAGCCGACGTGAAATGAGGTTGGAATATCAGAAATTGGGATGTATAGCACACGTGTGTATCTCTCCGTATTAAGTGTATACGCCGTCGAAATAGTGAGATACCTTTACAACGTGATATAATATCGCCACTTACCTACATCCGATCGACGCTCTTCCGACCAAACGGAATTTAATATATAAATGATATAATCTTCGATTGATATCGCGCAATTAAAAGTTTTTTAAGAATTACAATTATTTTGCTATAACGAAAAGATTTTATCCATAAGATTTCATTAAAGCGAGTTATCCGTATAAAGGATCAAAGTTTCCAGCTCTACGGCGCTCTTTCGCGGCTTTCAGGAATTTTAATAAAACATTAATAACGTCAATATATATTGACTTTACCGAAGCGGCTTTATAACAAGATGCTTAAAAGTTTGCGGGTGTTTCAAACAGAATTTGGCGATCGCATAATATAAAATGTATAATACAGTATAGTTGGTGTAGCTCGACTTTATGTCGAACGTATTTCAAATCTTTATCATTAAATGAGGAAAGAGAGAGAAGAAAGAAATTGTAAAAAAATATATTTAAATTATACAATTTATAGTAATGTACAATATATAGTTCGTTTATTGCATTTATTTAATTTCATCACGCGAGATTGCACAATAGCTTTCTTTAATCAAATAATTCTTTAATCCGCTCTCATTATTTCGTTAAAACAACGGTATTTAATTTTTAATCAGTTTCAGTTTCTCGCAAAGAATATAGAAACATAGGCAAGTCGAATTTGTGAAGATTATAATGTTATTATACATATAATATAGATTGCGCGCGATTCTTCGCTTTAATTAAATTGATTTGGCAGCCCTTATCGATTTTCTGGTATGTCTAAAGTAAAATAAATTAGCAAATTATAGGTATTCACGAATAATGCCAAATAACAGCTAATACAAAGTAATTTTCGAGACAGAGATATATCGATTCGAGACAGGAGAAAATATTACCCATTGACACGTTCTTTCGCTATTCCAGTTGAAAGCCCTTTCACTTCCTTTGTATTTTTCTCACGTTCCGGAGTTTGTCAATCGTGAAAGATGATGAGAAAGATCTATCGCAAGTTGAACGGCGCTTCTCTCTTAATTCAAATTTAGATCTTATTTTATTTTTCCAGTATTATATAAAAATAAGGACGTTTGACGTAAACGCGCGCGAGATCGTATACGATTTACAGCCGCGTTATCGGCGCTAAAGCCGCGATGAAAATAACGATCCACATTTCTTTTCACAAAACGCGAGCTTCTTCTTTCCTTCGGATCCCTGTCGGATCGATACGACACACGGAGACGTACAATGTCATCGTCCTCGCGCGCGGCCGGATATATATTTATCGACTCGCGTCAATTTTACAATCTAACGTGATTTACGAGGCGGATCCACCCGCGACGTTTTCAATGCCGGACGAAAACCGTTAGGGAGAAAATCGGTTACGTGACGAATAACGTACGTACCGCGACCGTGAAAAATGATCGGCGTTTGTGACAAAGTAGCTTCCCTTAAATCGTGCCACCGACCGGTGTCGATACACCATTATCTTGCGGAATGTCTTCCAATAATGCCTTGTATATATATATATATATATATATATATATATGTACAAATACCACGACCGACTTCCCCTAGTTTTCTCATGTCTCTCTTTTCCTTCGACTTTTTCCTAGCACGCGAGTGCATCATCTCGCGACTGCGCTTTAGCGCAAGTAATTCCGGAGAGACGGTACATTATATATATCTCGAGGTAGATTCATCGCGACAGAATTCATCGAGAGCATCGGCATATCCGCGGCGGAGGATATGAACGATTTACGATTACCGGCGGAGTTAACAGGCGGAAGTACATCGATGTTTACTTACGCTTTACGCGCATTGTCAATTCCCATGGCTGTCCCGACGCGCCGCGCCGGTTCCTCATTAATCGATGCCACATATGCATTACCGTAATGAAAAGAGCGACGAGATGTCGCGCCGATACGCGAATTAACTTGATTAAGAGTCTCTCGATGGTCTATAAATTCATAAGCGACCACGCAGATCTCGCTACAAACTGTTTAATACTCGTCGCGGTCATGTATCTATTTTAGATCGTGATTTTGGTCGCTACTCAACGAGACATTTGGTCTTTTTCAAATTTATACACGACAGACAGAGAACAAACCCAAGTTTTGTTCACGAAGCGATACCAAAATAAAGAGCTTTAAATGGTTTGAAAATATTTAAATACGTTCCAACAATTATCTCTCAGACATTTACTCTTTGAAATTTAAAGAATATTTAATCTTAAATGAGCTACACATCTTAAAATATATATGTACATATAAGAGTTTCGATAAGACATCGTTTTAGGTAATTATATTGTTCGAATATTAATTTTTGCATAAAGCATAAAGATCTTTTCTCACATATGTAATATTTTTTCTGATCCTTAAAGTCTTGAAGATTATACGCGATTTTATGGTGCGTGAAAAATCTACTTTGCGTTACCCTTATTTTATTTTTTCTAAATCTGGCAAGTATCGTACGCGGGCGAACAAACAGTTTCTGTGCATTCGTCTTGTCTGCAACTTTACTCGGACCGACAGACAACGAATTGCGCGGAATCGAGAAATTTATCTGACGAATGTGTGACTATACCTGCCGATTTGATTGCGGTTGGCGTATCGAGGAAAACGTCAAACAAACGAGCCGTCGCTTTTTCATTCGGACTTTCAATTCGACGTTGTGAATTGTGGGCTGGTGATCCGACGATTTTATCCGGCTCTACAACCGGCGTGCCAATCTTTTAGTAGCCTCGGCACTGGCGCGAGTGTTTTTCCTCGTGCGATCGAAAGAATAATATTTGCAACATTTTCGCGTAACGAAAAAAGTGGCCCTTTCAAATTACTATTTCGGGGGAAACTGTCTCGAGGAGAGTATAGTGGCACGGCAAACGCGTTTCCGAATATTCACTTAAACTTATATTTGCTCCGTTATGTATTTACGTTTAGTCGTTCGGCGTAATATCAAAGACGCAGCAAAACTTTAAGGTTCGAAACTTTCGAGATTGACCCAGGAAAGTTTAGGAGGTCCCAGCATAACCGATTTTCTCTTCCCCTCTCCTCAACTCAGTTGCTATTTGTTTTATGCTAACATGGAGTTAATTACACCGATGTCGGAGTTGGATATGTTTGGCATGTTTGATTATATTTCGCGAAACTGCGTTTAATTGCATTTTCATACGATTACGAGAAACTTACCTTGATTTAAGACGACAGAACTCGAGAGATTTATCATTTTTTTTATCGTCCTCAAGCGAAACGAAAATATGAAAGAAAATATTATCCCTTTTCTCTCATATTTCATGGTAAGATAAAAAAAATATAATATATGCGAGCAAAATTTTTTAGGCTATTCTTGATAATAGCAGACCCACAATTTAAATTTCATTAGTCTCAGCTGGCATAGATATCCATCCCCCCCCCTTTCCTCTCCCCGCTTAATACGTTCGCAATAATTATTCGGCGGTGGAATGTTTGCGGAGAGAGGTCGTAAATATGAGAGTCACCCTTAGCCGCCCTCTCGGGTTTGTATACTTTTTGCTCTTGCCTCGGGGATTCGTGTGCTCGGGCGAGCTCGCATTTTCGCAAAGGGGCTCGTATCGAGCACAGCCATCGAGAAATCGACGTCCAGCTCGCGCGCAACACACGAAACGCTCGACACCGCACTCGGCACACGCGAGTGTGGCACGCGTGTGAGTGTCGCTTACGTGGACCAGGTTCGCGCAGGAACTTCTTCCTATCGTCGCCCTTATCGTGACGTTTAACGAGCACGGGTCACGGGTTTGTATTATCCCAGGGTGGCTCGCTTTTTATACGGCCGTGCCGCGGTGCTAACTTTTAACCCCGATACGAGGAAGGACGAGGAGATAAGTGATAAAGGCAAATGCGAATAAGCGCGATGAAATAATTATCAATTAAATATAAAAAATCGTAATAAAAAAAACCAGCAAAGTTTTTATTATACTACTCGACTCGATTTTCTAATATACCGCACTTATTCGCCTTATGTTCTTTATCTAGAGTGCTGACGTTTTTTTTTTATTATATGATTCTGTACGTAGCAGTTAACTTTTAACCTCAATGCGGCAGGGAAAGATAAGTGATAAAAGTAGGCAAACGACGTGAAAAGGAAAGAAATAATTAATCATTGCACCATTGAATAAAACATCGATTTTCTCTCCCTTTCTCCCTCTCTCCTCTTTCTCTCGCTAATACGCTTGGCTCTAATTCTCATCGATTTTTATATATAAGTATAGATATTATTCGAATGAAATTTGAAGGGTATTAGATTAAACGCTGGTACATTTTTTCTGAACATATTAAATTTAATTTTAGTAATAATTTTCAATTATAGTCGCAGAATATCCTTAATAAAATTTTAAAAGAAATCATCGTGAAGCAAGCCAAAGAATATATCAGATACGTAATAGACGTAAATATACATAAACTACAACATATCATATGTAGCCCTTATATTTAACAATTCTTTGCATACGATGCACGTTCACTTGTAAGGATTTTGTTCAGTGATCGTAAGAAGTAAGGATTAAGAGCTTACCTGTAGATCGGGATAACGTCACTCTTGTACCAGACGACCAAGATAGCGGAATCGTTCTGATGAGGTGGACGAATAATACACGGTAGCTCGGCCGTTCCACCGAGGACCGCTCTTACGGACTGTGGCGGCCCTAAAACACGAAATATTGATTAAATAGCTGTCATTTATAATTTCCCGTAAATTCATTTTATAATAGAAAGAAACTCAAAACGCATTTTAAATTCTTTATGATCTGTTATCAGTAATGGTCTTTATAAAACACGTATTATTAATGTATACATATGTATACACGGAATATATTAAATTATACAAGCATTTGAAAATACAAACTAATAATTTATTAGATGATTAATGATATCGTAGAGTTAATCTTTATTTTATTTATTCGATCCTGCAATTTGATTGTTTTACTGTACCTTTTCAAATTGAATTATATTTAGATCTTTGAAAAATCGAACGATGAAGCATTAGACGAAATATATTTGTGACTTTAACTATAATTTGAAAAATAATTATTAGCCGTAACAGAACGTTACGAAACGATAATCATAATTTGAATTCCTGTCACTTTGATTCTTATTTGATTTAATAAATATATTACGCGAAAATGTAATTCGAGACCTATCATCTCGATATATATGCAATTACACATTAATTATATGGAAATCAATTAATAATTAATCATATTATTAAACTGAATATATATAGTTTTTCGATCGCGATCGCGTTTTTGAAAAGAAACTCGACCGAGTGTCAACTTTACTACTGCGAGTGTCGACGTGTGAATGAATATACGTATATGTCATAATGTGTAAAACATTTCAGTAATTAATTAAATATTAATAACATATAATATTCGGTCTTGATGTCGTCTAACGCGTTATTGTTTACGTGCTTCGGCTGTGTAATCATTCACACGTCGATACTCGAACAGTAGTGAAGTCGTATGTAGGGTCAGACGCTCGGTTAAACTCGATCTTTTCTAAATGCGCTCGCAATCGATATCGGAAGACTATTTGTATATGATGTAATGTAATTACTGAGGAACTGACTTCTATAATTAATGTATAACTACATTGTGACGTTAGGTCTCGAAACACTTTTCACGTAATATATTCATTTAATCGAGTGAAAATAATTAAAGTGACAATAATATTAAATTATTTTAAAGCATTTTAAAGCATCGATGAATTATATATTAAGATGGATCGCGGAGTTTAATGTTATGTTAAATATTTTGTTCTGCGATTGTGTCTTAGTGTGTGTTTTCAATCTGAATTATATTCAGACCGAAAAATCAAACGATAAAGAGCATCGAACGAAATATATATTTAATTCTAAGTATTACCAAAATATTTTACATGCAATGCAGATATATGCGGAATATTAAATTATGCAACATTTTAAAATATTCAATTACGCGCCGCGGCTGATAATTACTAATTACAATAATTACACAAAATAATATTTTGATTAAAATCTACCTTGTGTAAACAAAATTTTTCTTCTTCGCGATTTTATTTTTGTATGATTGTGCGTAATAACATGCACTCTCACATATAATAGTCATTAGAAAAGATATTACAGACAAACACGTCAAAGAAAATTGATTTTGTTTTTATTGATGCATTATTTCATTATAGAAATGACAAAAATAAGAAGACATTATTTTTGGATACGTATGATTCGTTTCACGTTAAAAAGTTGCATCTGCTATGCAACGAATTTCGTGTTCAATAAGAGATCTATGTCATTGCTGCCCTTATATTGCGTTAGCAATAACTTTGAGTGGTTATTTCCGACGTAGGAAATCCGTTTTACTTACAAATAACAGGACTGACGCAGGTGCGACACGAATGGTGATTGCGTTTCGTAGATTTACCCGTCTTTTACCAAGAAACGTATGCACGGTAGTGTATTACCGTTACTGCAGCAAAACAGATCGCATCTGCTCAGTCTTTCAACTTCGATAATTTTCTAAATTACACTATTACATTTCGCGAGATGTATATATATACGTTACAATTTTAGAAAGTCGACTATCGAGTTGGAGAAGAAAATATGTTGAATAGTATATTTATTATAATTATAAAATATAAAGCACGGATTTTCATAATATAATTGAGCAATCGCTTATGTAATTAAAACTATCGACTGCTTTAATTAAACGTAATATCGCTATTTTGCACTCGACGAGGATAAAATTAAATACTATAAAGAAATAATAATCATCGTATAAAATCAATTCGAGGCATTAAATATAAATCGATTTAAAAGAAGATCCGGTGTTCACTTTTATACGCAATAACGGGAAAATATTACCGAGAAATAATTCTGCCTTATAATACGACAAAATGCATGCTAACTTCTTCTCCGTCGAGATAGATGATTGAATATTTCCGATATAAAATTGAGAAAAAAAAACAAACTCGAACGATGAAGATGTTGGCGTATGTAGAATAAGAGAAAGGTCACGTAACAATTTCGCGCTCCAGAAAGCACCGTTTCCACTGGACTTCCCGAGCATCGTCAGTCTGGGTCAGATATTGAAGGATCGGCGAGAATATTTGTGCGGAGGAGATGGGGTCGAGCGACGCGGAAGAGGATGTCAGCGAGAACAACGCGCGCCGGAAAGCGGAAACGGGGATGTGTATATATATATATACGCCGGCTGTCCGAGCGTATTAAAACTGAACGAATCGTGGATGGATTTTCTTTCCAGTCTGTCAGCCGTAGAGGAAGCGCCGATCCGTTCGCTTCTCTTGCCCCGACGACGGTAGAACATTTTTTCAAATTTTTCTCTCGGTTTTTCGACAAAATCGATCGTCGACTCGCGTAGAGATCCTTGACTTTATTTTGATTGATCAAACTTATTTACGAGACAGAGTGCATGAAATAAGCTTCGGTAAAGCAGTCGATACCATCATCGATCGACCATTATTAATTCACTTTTTTACGTTAACTCGCACGGGAACTATTGATTTTGTAAAATACCACCGTTGTAAAACTAGTGCCCATTGGGACAGAAAATATCCGTCGAATAATAATTTCTTGAGCTTCTGAGAAAATTAATAATAATATTTTACATAAAACGTTTCTTAAAGAAATTATTTTTCTTCTTAAAACATTCCATCACCGCATATTTCGATTACTTGAGATATCTTTTTTTTAAGTGTCAAACTTGCTTGAAAAGTTTATGCAAAAGTATAATTGAAAATGAATACTTTATAACAAGAGAAATTAGTGACAGTCTATAAATTTGAAAGAGGGAATATCTAATATAAGCAGGGGGATATATGCAGCTATTATCCTTTTTATATCAAAAAAGTGCATAGAATAATATTAATTATTTTCCGAATTATTTATAGTTTCGAATAATTAATTTTTCGTGCTTTGAATCTGTTGGCCGATTTAAAAAACATCGTAATATTGAGAGCCGATAAAAATATTTCTTTCTGATTGAATTATTTTCGTTGAATATTTTTGAAAATATGTTTCTTCACAGGAAGCAATGCAGCATGCAAAACAAAAGTGACGAGCATTCTATTATCAAACTTGGCGGAGCCTTTATCTTGCTTCGTCCAATTTCTGAGTTTCTGTCATAAGAGTCATTTCTCTTCCTTACATTTTCAGAGCCCCATGAGCGATAGTTCGCACGGCGCGCATATTAGGTCTCTCGTTCCAAGTTTTGAATTTTTAAGCAGAATTTTCACTCTGTGCCGCCGTCACGGGAGAGAATATATTATGCAGTCCCTAATTTACCGTCCTAGCGCGCCTCAGCCTCGCGGAACGGAGAAACGAGTTTACGCGAAAGAACAAATGGTGCCTATTTCATTCGCTTATTCGAGTATCCTTTGCTTTATATCTAACTTTTAGCGCAAAATTCATCGGAGAATTCAAGCGTATTGTGATTCAATCACACAGGCTTACTACTTCTTTATGTCTTAATTCCTGCGAATCTTTATTATCACAGTGTCTCTTACATATCGCTGACGCGGAATAAATTAGAATGAAACTCGATACCATGAAAATTTCCCGGCCGTATATAGTATGTATTTACTTTAGTTTTTTACATTGGATTTTTTTAAATAATCTTCGAGCTCTTCAAAGTTTTCCCGGCGAAACTGTTTTTAATGGATTTCTGCGGCGAGATTTTGCCCATTTCAAATCTGGGACAACGTCACCGGCGTGGAAAGGTGTATCGAAATTTCACCGTGTAGATTTTTTTAGCCGACGTGGCGCACCCCGATGGATGGAAATCCCTTTGGCGTATCCCGCGTAATATAAAACACACACACGCGGGCATCCGTCGCGATAGGATTTTACATTCCGAGTGTGCGCATTGATTTTCTTGATTAGATTATACGAATCCAAATTCCACTGTCACCCGACCTCGCGGGACGTCGCAGATTCATCTTCCGGAAATGTATGATTAGAGTCAGTACGGTACTAATCCCGTTGACTTTGGTCTCGAGGTCACGGCATCTAGATAAGCAACGCTAATTAAATTTACAGACAACCGAAGTGGTGCTACTTTGCGCGCGCGAGCTTATACATTTTCGCGCATTATACATTTATACTCGCATAAGAGGAAGGAAGGAAGAAAGGGAGCTCCCTTTTCTTCCCACAGTCATCTTCGCGCCGTGTGCTCTTCCATTTTTCTTGCGCTCGTAGTTCATAGAGTTAACGTTAACGGTGTTATCCGGCACGTCGGAAACGCGCGCGCGGATGCTTTTACCTCTTACCTACCTACCTACCCTACATACTTATCCCACCCGTACATATCTCCACGTACGTGGGATCTCTAGTCTCGCGTGTACGCCGGTGTATGTATAAAACAACGGTTTTCACGGCGCCCGCTAAATTTCCCTTGGGCTGCCCGCGGTGCATTATGAGTCCTGAAGGGTGGCGGCAACTGCGGATCGTTCCTGTCGCGCATCTCGTTCCCGTGCTCTTTCCTCTCTTCTCTCCCTCTCTATGTTGTTACCTGCCCAGAGGGTAACAGTGCGCGACAGCCGCGAATCGTGCTGAAAAGCATTTTGACGAAAAAAAAAAAGCGAGGGCCTCTGTGACGCGCCGTCTACCTATTTGACATACTTTGGAAAAAAAGGAATAGCGAAGAGAAACTCA